CTGAATGCATTTGCTTCTGTTGTTTGCACTTCAGAGCTCTGACTGCAGCTGCCCTGGGGTTGGAAACAATACTTACTCATTTTGAAATTATGTTCAGCTTTAATTTTTAAAATGTTTCCTGTAACATCCCTGCTTGGGCTTGAGAGAATATCTGGAGGGCTTGGGGTTTTGTTTTGTGTATTCTGTAATTTTTGCTTTCATAGGGTGTAAAAATGTCTTTCTACAAAATGCCACTCACTCTACATCCAAATTGACCGAAGCCCCTAGGCGCAACGCTGAAGGTTAACTGGAAATAGCCAAGGAAAGCAGAGGGGGCAGAGAGGGATTACAAGCATGACAAAAAATGACAGGCAGAAAGGGAGAGGTGGTGAAGGTCTCTCCTGGCAAAGGCCCCCGAGCAGGCAGGGGTGAATGTCAAAAAGCAATTATAAAGGTCACAAGAGGACTGTCATGGGAATCATGGCAGATTCATTCCTTTGTATTAGCTAACTTTATTCTTAAGGTTCTTCTGTTTCTAATGCTGGTAATCCAGCTAGCATTTTTAAGATCATATCAAAATGATAGCCGTCCCATCACATTACGTAAATGGATCTCTTTTCTGAACTCCCAGGCAATGGAAAAGCGGCTTTAGGGGCCCCGAGTGACGATAAGGATGGTTTCAACGTCACAGCTGTTGTAGAAAGCACGTATGGCCAGTATAGCCCCATGGAGATGCTGTACCACAGAGATTTCCGGAGTCATAGGGTCAGATCTGCAGCACCTAGCTTATGCCAAAGGCCTCTTTGCTCCTGGCCCCAGCCAAGAAACGAGCTAAAGCCCCTTTAGCGTGTTTCCACATGTCCCAAACCCTGTACTTAGTGACACAGAACAGATCCTCACCCACAACCCTGCGTGAAAGCTCCCTGGAGAAAACGCAAGATAGCTCCAAGTGGTTTCTCAGCAAAACAATCTCCACGACATGACATTTATTTTCAGAATAGCCCAGGCGTGATAAACACTGTGGTGGTGTATTCATGTACCTGTAACAGTTTGTGGTTGTTTCGACTTCTACAATGTTTTCTGATTGCTCCCTCTCAGGGATCTGTATTTGTACAGCCCAGGGGCTGTCCTGAATCTCTTCAGAGAAGAAGTTTTGGGAGGGACCTTGGGTCAAGAGAGACATAGTCCTTTTTGAGCGTATGGAGAATTAGCAGTTACTTTGCTCAAGACAACCCAGAACTGTAGGAGTAGGCTGGCAACTTGCCCAAGCAAAGCTCTTCTGCGCAATGTCAGATCACTCTGTTATTGGAGGAAGCTGGTCACAGCCCAGTAGTGGCATCCATTGTGTTAACTCTCCCTAAACCCCCTGAAAAAAATGCTCCGAGAATTCCTCTTCTCTCCTCCCTGCAAAAGGCCGGTGCCATCTTACAATGCCCGATACTGTCCTTGCTACTCCCTCCCACAAATTTCTCTGGCCAGTCTTAGGTCTGGAGAGGACTGGCATGTAAAAGTCTCTCTGGTGATTGCAAAACCATTTGTCTTATGTTACAGGTGAACTGGTATTGCCCACCTAGAGGGGGCTTGTTGGAAGAGGTCAGGAAATCAGTGTAACTGCTGATCCACGGGCAGCAGGTACCCCATCACAAGCCAGAATGAAAACCACAATTCGGTGAGCTACAGAGGGACCCAGACCTCAGAGCAAGAGCTGGGACCTCTTGGGGAAATTCGGCACACGCAGCTGCCAATGCTGGCTGCAGGGAAGGTGAGGTGGGCCTGGGGCTCACTGCTGATGGCCAGCCATCTCTGACCTAGTAGCAGTAACAAAGGCTAGGATGTTTACAGTTCTAGTCCCCTATATTATATGCCGGCACAAAGACCTGAGTAATTCTGGCTGCCTGTCTCAGGTGATATACGTTGGTTTCTCGAAATTTCTAAGTATTCAAAGTGTTAGTTTTGTTAATTTTCCATTTCACTGGAAATGGAGGGGTCTGAGGATATTCGCACTGAAGCCACCCCCTGGAATTTTTACAGTGTACTTGATCCTGCTGTTGCTCTAAGGGCTCTTTTTTTTTTTTTTTACAGGATTCACTCATCATCTTGATTGTCTTCTTTGCCAGTCACTGTTGTGATGCTTCATTTTAAGGCCACAAAACCATCCTTGTCCTTGACATGACCCAGACATCCATATCCTGTATGAAAAGGATTTTAATCTTATGCCAGCAATAAAAATTGATCACTGGAAAATTTCTAATTTGAGACCCTGTAATAATCGGGCTCATTATTTCCTGGTGCCAGCATTCTGCAGGTGTCGCAGAATGTCGCAGACACAAACCACTACTTTCCTGAAACAAGAGGCTCCTCTCAGCCTCTCCATCAGCCTCTGCCCCCCTGCTCCTCTCTGTTGCAAGAGTCACGGGTCATTAAGGTTGTGTAGCTATAGAGATGGAAGCCCTACTCTACCTCACCCCTCGCTTTTTGATTTGGTCCATTTGGTGCTGCTGCTGACACATTTCTAATGGGAAAAATAAAGATGGCCTGAGGACAGACACTATCAGTAACTAAAAATTCCTTCAGATTTGTATAGGGAGATAGGAAATCTAAAATTTTAGAGCAAAGGTGGAGCCAACTGATGAGTGCTGCCCAGATCTGACTTCAGGGAATTAAGACCTGTTCTTTTTTTTGAGGTTGAAATTCTTATCATCTGGTACAACTCATAGAATCACTACTCATAAAATCTTCAGTATGTTTCCAGGTACTTGGATTCAAAAGAAACGTTGGGATAGTTCTTATGAACAGTTGTATCTACAATTAAAATAGTTTTCTTAAGAGAATTAGCTTGCAACTACTTATTTATAAGCTAGATACATAAAATGGCAACTTCCTACGCAGTGTACAAATGCCCTAAAGCACCAGCATCGAGCAAACAAAACTGATTCAAATAAATGAGGGGAAGGCTTGTATTTTTAATACACACACAACTCATTCCTGAGGGCTTGATCAAATAAACTACGGTGACTGAGCTGAGGGACAGACATAACTGAAATGAGGAGGAGATTGTGACGCTCAGGCTTTCAGTATGATTTAAAAGATGTAGGTATTCAGAGACTGTTAAATCACCATTTTGGCCCCTTTCTGACATAGTCATTGTTGCAGATGCACTTTCAAATTTCTATGTAAAACGTTTCCTCAGTCTGCTGGATGTCTGATGGGAAAGAGCAGGTTAAACTCCCTTGAAATTCATGGCATAGGGGTTCCCAAGGTTTTCGGACTAACAAAACATCAGCGTTTCTTGGTGCTAGTATCACCGTATGTCAGGGATGAAATGTTTAATTTAAAATAACATGTAGTGTAGCTCTGTAGACTTCCCAAGGCCACGGAGACCTCAGATGGCAACCACCTCCCTACCTCTTGTGAACTGTGCTGTGATTTTCCTAGGAACACACATTAAAGATGAGAAAAGATGAAAATACTTAAAATTTAGTCTCTCCAGCCATAATACAAGTAGATGTAGTTGGCATGTAGCTGGCAAATGTAAAGC